CCGGGGCTTGAACTCACGGACTGCAAGATCAAGACCTGAGCCAAAGTTGGATGCTCAACCAACTGAGCCACCCAGGTGCCCCAAAAACTTCTGCTGATTTTACATAAATCCTGTGGTGCCCACTGGGATAACGTGTACTACTCTGGGGGTGGCAAAACTGCAACTAGGAACCGTGGCTCTAGATATTGGAAAATGGGGGGCACCTGGCTGGCTCAGTCGGTGGGGCGTGTGGCTCTTGATTTTGGGGTTGTGAGTTCGAGTCCTTCGTTGGGTGTGGAGATTACTTAGCCTGGAGCCTGCTTCAGATTCTGTGGCTCCCTCTCTCTCTGGTCCTACTTTGTTCATGCTCTCTCTCTCTCTCTCTCTCTCTTTTAAAAACAAACATTAAAAAATATAAATGAAATAAAAAATATTTAGAGACTGGAAAATGAAACTCGAAGGGAACGAAACTAGAAAGATGAACAACCATAAGCTAATTTTGACTCTTCTCTATTTATCTTTTTTGTTTGAAAATCAACTACCTTTTTAATTTGAAGAGAAAGGGCCTTTGGCCACCACGGTTCCAGTACCAAAGAGGAGGACTTGATAATTAATAAAGAGTGGGAAATGAATCATGAAGCAGAATTACAGTCCAAGAATTTCTCCAAGATAAACGTTCACATGAAATCTGGATGTAGTTTTTGTTTTTTTGTTTTTTTTCTCACAACGCATGAAATGCAATTTTCCACAGAGGGACACAAACATGTCGCTTACGATTGTTAGGATGATTCATTCAGTTCACGCTGTGGGCTGAAGAAAAATCCAACCTTCCTGTCTGAATTTAACCTGAGGTTTAGGGGAGAATATAGCATCTTACAGACTAAAATAAAACTCACAGTCACAATGGCTATAAAAATAGCTAAATGAGAAGACACATTAACGTTACATATCCTCGCCTAGAACAAAATCTTTTTGGATATGTGAAAATCAATCATAGGATTTCAAGTGAATACCAGAATTTGAGCAAAGGACTAAACAACTCTTCCTCAGCAAACAAGATTCACTTCACAGAAGCCTCAAACATGGCCATTTCTCTTTGTTACTGAATATGCTGATAGGCACATCTGATTACCTGTATTTCAACCTTTAGCAGGATTATTAAAATAACTGGAAATCATCCTGAAGAGAACATATGTCCTGTTCAGATGATTTTAGTGATTATTTCCAAACAAGAAAATAAGAAATATGGAAAAAAATATATTTTTATTTTGCTATTTGTTTCTAGTTAACTATCGGTTCCTTAAAATGAAGTAACTATTTTGATACAATAAAAATGCAAAAATCTCTTTACAATGTTTTCCAAATACTGTAACAAGCAGTTCTCAAGAGACAGAAAAATTCACGGTAAGTCTTTAATGGCCTTTTTTGTTTTCTACTCAGCACGTTCCCTCAATAGGTAGTTAACCTTTCTTGGTATTCACTGTTTCAAACCTACACACTGAGAAGGGCTGCATTTTGGCAGCTATCTTGAGAACGGTTCATCTTTATTCAATTACTACCAGAGAAAATTCCCTGTAACAGTCAGCATTCAATAAAAACCAAAGCGTTCCCAATAAATCAGATTTACATTTACTTGGATATGGTATAAAAACATCCAAAGGCATTTAACTCTAGTTATTGTAGAGCCAGTTTTAAAAAAATAAATAAATATATGTATAACTGTTTACTTACTTGGAATGTAGGAGATCATTATCAGAATTAGGAATGCATAATAGTCAAAGGAGAAATTGTACTTGTTAGGTAAACTGATGGAATACAGGCCCGCCTGTCTGACAAAGGGCAAAGCAGCATATATTGTGAGCAACTCTCCTGACACTCCCATTGGGTACAGCACAATGAAAAGTGTGTACCTGAAACAAAACAGAATATTCATGACTGAGGCTCGAAGCCAGCACTAGTAGAAGGATACATTCCCACCCTTCTAATCCGTACAGGTTTTCCAGGAAGCTACTGTTTCTACTTTTTCCTGTTTGCCCACTATTTAAATTCAGGCTTTACAAGCCAGTCTTTGGAAAGGGCCTATAGCAGGTATGTCTCTGAATGTTCTAAACTAAAACATAATAAATGTGTTCGGTCAGCTTACAATTTGTTCAGTTTGGCCCAATAAACAACATTCAATACAACTCCCTAAAATAACAAGGATGATGCCAATCATTGGTGAAGTAGAGGCACTGAGTCATGGTTCATATAAGGATCCTGCCCTGTGGGGTAGAAGTGGAGCTGGGGGCTTTGCAGGGAGTTGGTGGGGGAGACGTTAGAGCATGTAGCTAGAATCCCTCCAATGTATACCAAACTGGTCTGTGGACTGAAAAACATAGCGCATCCAGTGTGCTTTTAGTGCTGCTATTAGCCAAATGTCTGTACATGTTATTGTGAAAAATGAAATATAGGCTAATTTTAAAAACCTTAAAAGTTCCTAACAGCTTTTGGTCACTATGTAATTTTTCAAAACCAAAACAAAACAAACAACCCAACCCTACAGTTACTATTACAGAGGAGAATCCACACAATTTTTTTCACTTTAAAAAGGAATTCTCTATGTTTCAAAAACAATTCAGAGAGAAGTTCATCCTGTGGAACTAACTGGAAATCATTCGGAGGTGTTAGTATTGCTAAGGAAACCATCAGCTCAAATTTTAAAGAGGTTTTGGTGTTTGTAGCTGACAGCGAGCACTCTGGGTTCCAAACTTCCAGGTGCAGAAGTTGTGCCGAGGAATCTGTGACAAAGAACGGAAGCCGTGTTCACCATGTTCCCCGCTGCCAGCTTCAGCCATGCTAAAGAGGACAGTGGAAAAGGAAGATTCTTCCATAGGCCATGGACAACCATGGACAAGAAAATCATTCTCCACTGATAAGTTCAGGGCTGGGCAGCCAACTCTCCCTGTAACAGACCAGACAGCTTCCATGATGCTTGCCTGGTTAGTTACTAATTGCTATCTTTTCCCATTCTTCCCTTTTCCTAATAAAATTGTGTACTGGGGGGAAAAAGGAAGTTTGCATACTTGAAACGTTGGAAACAACTGATTGATGTCTCTAATTTAACCATCAAACTCATAAATTGTCTAGGAAGCACCATTTTCCTTCTAAGAAATGAGCAGTTGGGTCCCAAGAACAGTTTTGATCCTTTTGCTTTGTCACTCTCCCCACAGTCTTCTCCAACTCAGAACATTGCTCACAACCATCTCCTGAATTAGTTCAGATAAATGGATGAACTGTCAGCCCTTTACCCAATTCATAACAAATACTGCTGGCAAAAATTATCAAAGCAAAATAAAATTGCTAACATTCTAAAACCACATGTATCGTTTGTTATGAATTAAAAATTGAGTCATAGCCTCTTGGCAAAACTGAGACTAGGAGAATTGGACTTGGTCCAAAAAACATAAGGGCAGGAGCTCATCAGTAAAATTTGGTATGAAAAAAAAGAGATGTTACATCAAATCTCTACCGAATAATTTAAATGAAAATAATTGATCCAATAAAAATAAGTATATACAACTTAAAACAGTATTTCTAATAATCAAAGTTAAGGAGCATCCCTTATCCTGATGAAATCCGAAGACCAGTCTCATATCACCAATCCCAACACCTGTCTCATAGAATTAAAAAAACCCTGAAGTATAGTTGACATCGTATATATATTTATTTTTAGGAGCTTGTAGACAATATTTAGCAAAAAAGGACAAATACAGTGATGGATCACTTCAAAAGTTAATCTTTATCCCATGTACTTTACCTGGCCCATTTGATGAGGTAAGGCAGATGGTTTAATAGACTGAAAGTATAAAAGGAGTAACGGATAATTTCTGTGATTGTCCAGGCAATAACAAACAGAAGGACACTGTCTTCGCTCTGAACCTGAAGGAAAAGGAACAAAAGCAAAAGCAAACACATAAAACATTTTAACAAAGAAGCTGCACCAGTGTGCAGCACCAGCCACGCCCCCTCCCCGGACCCCGCCCTCTTGCCGAGCTAGGGGACTGAACAACTGGACACAGCCCTGGTCTGTATCCTTGGTGGCCACAGCACAGCACAGGAAGAGCCTACCTACCATACATAGGAACACGTGCCTATCACAACAGCTGTGTAGAGTCGAGTGATTAAGGGCCAGTGAGAAGAACTCAGCTTACTGATGAGTAGGAGGGGCAGAAACAGGAATCCCACGAGTTAAAGCCCACAGGAAAAAACTAACACAGATGAGTGTTCTGTCTGCTGGCCTGCTGCGGAGAATGTGAACTGATGTTAGTGGGAGTCAAGACTAGTTAGATAAGAAGGTAGCAGGGCAGGGGCGCCTGGGTGGCGCAGTCGGTTAAGCGTCCGACTTCAGCCAGGTCACGATCTCGCGATCCCTGAGTTCGAGCCCCGCGTCGGGCTCTGGGCTGAGCCCGGAGCCTGGAGCCTGTTTCCAATTCTGTGTCTCCCTCTCTCTCTGCCCCTCCCCCGTTCATGCTCTGTCTCTCTCTGTCCCAAATAAATAAATAAACGTTGAAAAAAAAAAATTTAAAAAAAAAAAAAAAGAAGGTAGCAGGGCAAACTGGTGGCAAGCTTGGGGTCTGTCTGTTAACAAGAATTTTAATTTGATCTGCATGACAGCTAAGAATCTGAGGAAACTTCAAAGAAGGGGAACATAGTGCCTGAAATACAACTGAAGATGAGGCTAATTCACTGGGTAGGATGAATTCAAGTGAAGGAAGAAGAGCCAGAGACTGTCTGAAAGGCATAGCCCATTTATTCTCTCCCATTGGTGATTTCTTCCCCTGAAGAAGCCTGGTTTAACTTAAAAATTATAGAAACTTCCATGCTGACCACAGGAGGCTCTGGAATTTCCAGCCTCTTCTGGATTATTTTCATGATGAAAATAACGATAAACTTGAACACAGCACCACCCCCCCCAGGTGGTTTTTAGGTTTTAGATGCCTTGGACTGCAAATCTCACGTGGAATGTATTTCCACCACACTGGCATTTGCTTTCAGTGCCTCCGCCATCCCCCCAGCCACATTTACAATGATCCTGGTCCAGGCTTGAAGACCAGTAACAAGAAACTACCTTATACTCAATTCACTCATGGTTTCTTGAATCTAATACAGGCAGTCAGAGAGCTGGATGTGATTAAGAAATTCCACTGAGTAAACAGGACAGATTTGGACAAGATGCATGTTCTCTGCCTTATTCCTAACACCTAATACAACAAAGGTACGGCATTCTAACCTTAACTTTTCTTCCTTGCATTTGCAATGTGAATGCTTTTTCGCACTTATATTCTTCCTCAGAGAGGGTACATGGAGCGATCCACCTACGCAATAAAATAACTAGTCATTTACATACCTATTAGCTAAATTGCTCTGACAAAGAATTTCATAAATGCATAGTTACTAATCCCTAAAAATAATAAGAATTTTGCACTGTCAAGAGCAAGAGTACTTTTTGTTTTCCTGGTGCTCTTGTATTAGCCCGAGTAAAACCTAAATACCTCTGAAGCTTTTATGTTTCATTTTTCAGTCTGTCCCCAAATCCTTGCTTAAAACCCACCTATACTAAAACATAATTTCAGAGCATTTTGCTTTTTGATGTATTTATTTTGTAATCTTCCTCATCTGAAGATCTGTTTTACAGCTATGGGATGAAGTTTTGCCTAAAGATCTCTGGGTTGCAATAGGGAGCCCTTCCAATATTTTGCATTCTAATCATCTTGAAAGCAGGGAATGTGTTTTATTCATCTTCTGATTCCTAAAAGCACTTTGTGCTTTTTGCTAAGTGGAGCAAACAAATTCAATTCTAATCAGGTCACTCCAAGATTAAGTTCCTGCTTTGGATACCTGATATTAGTTTCTGTATAGTCTTAAGTGGCCTTCCGAAAGACAGGTAACAAACAACCCCCCTTGCACTCTGGTCCAGCCTCAGGGTTACTGGACTCATTCTCTCCAGGCCCAAGTTAGACTTGAACCAAAAGAACGGTAACAAGCTCACACTCAGGCTGGATGTGAAAGCAGGTGCTCCCAGAACCCAGCTGTGAAGACCATGTTATACAAATGGTACCTTCAGATTAACAGGAAATACAACACTGTTATTAAGAAGGTACTTGGGTAAAGTCAGTGACCCAAGCTTGTCTGATTTGTAAACAATTATCCAATGACACAAAACAGGGACAGAATGTAATGAGTTGAAGCTAGTAAGATCAATGAGACTCAAACGGCTATTTGTATACCTGTGTTCACAGGAGCGTGATTCACAATAGCTTAAAGGTAGAAACAGCCCAAATGTCCATCAACAGTTGAATGGTATATACATACAGTGGAATATTAATCAGCCTTAAAAAGGGAGTTCTGACCCATGCTACAATGTGGATGAACCTTGAACACAATTTGCTAAGTGAAATAAGCCAGTCACAAAAAGACAAGTACTATATCCCACTCATCTGGTACCCAGAGAGGTCAAATTCAGACAGGAAGTAGGACTAGAAGGCTGCCAGGGGTGAGGGGTGGGAGGAAATAGGACATAAATGTTTAATGAATACAGAGTTTTGGTTTGGAAAGATGAACAATGTTTTGGAGATGGACGGTGCTGATGATTGTACAACCACAGGAATGTACTTACTGCACCTGAACCATACACTTAAAAATGGCTAACATGGACAATTTTGTTATGTTTTACCACAATAAAAAACCCAGTAAGATAAAATTTAACCAGGCTAACTATTCAGCAGCAACAAAATGACTCCACCACAGAATGGAGAAGACTCAGCTTATGAATCTGGGAGATGAGCAGTTTTTAGTGAACTACAAACTTCCTATGTGCCAACAGGGTGCAGGTGGTTGTTCAAACGACCGATCAGCCAAGCAACCAACCAGTATTTGGCCACATTAATAGTCTCATCCCAGTGATTCCATTCCAAATAGATTAGATCCCACCCAGAGGTCTGAGGAGGTTATGAGAACCCCTGAACAAGCAAAGCTTACTTTGGAAAAGGAGAAGGTTAACTACTTCAGAATATGTAAATGAATATTGTGTGCAACTGGCATATGGACACAAGACTAATGGCAAAGTTAACAGGGAGTAAAAATGCCTGGTTAAAATAAGAAGTGTGTAACAGGGGCGCCTGGGTGGCGCAGTCGGTTAAGCGTCCGACTTCAGCCAGGTCACGATCTCGCGGTCCGTGAGTTCGAGCCCCGCGTCAGGCTCTGGGTTGATGGCTCGGAGCCTGGAGCCTGTTTCCGATTCTGTGTCTCCCTCTCTCTCTGCCCCTCCCCCATTCATGCTCTGTCTCTCTCTATCCCAAAAATAAATAAAAACGTTGAAAAAAAAAATTAAAAAAAAAAAAAAAAAAAAAAAAAAAAAAAAAAAAAAAAAAAAAGAAGTGTGTAACAAACCAGTTGACTAATGAAATAGGCCGCCCCATGAAGCCGAGTGCTTCCCGACTCTGGACACAGTCAAACTGAGACTGCTCAGGAGAAAGTCCTGAGCAGGGTGGAAGGCTGACTTAGAAGCAGCCAATGAAAGCTTCCAGCTGCTGTTCTTTGTAGAGAGGGGTGGGGTGTGCATATAACCTGTACATGGGAAAGGCACAAGACTCTGGCTAACCCTAACCTCTTTGCATAAATGGAAATTTTTTTAACTGGAAAAAAAATGGGTAGAGTCTTTTAAGAGTACTTAAAAATAATTTTCCTTTATCAAAGAACATGAGAGAGGAGAGAATAATTTAAAGACCTCCCTTCATTGCTGACTACTGAGGGCATACCACGGGAATAGTTCTCTGGCTCTTTATCTCCGACTCTAAGGTCTTCAGGGCTCTGCTTCTCCTCTTAGGTGGCTTTCTCGGGCCCTGACACAGGTCTGCACACAAGGCATGTGCGGGGTCAGTGCCCCTTAACTCAAATGATACCATTTATTTTCTTTCTTTCTGGTTTGTTTTTGTTTTTAAAGCAGGAGTTGGGAACACTTTTCTAACACGTGGGGAACCTTTCTATCAAAGGCCAATGACTCAGAGAAAAAGATCACTTAAGGTAAAAAAAAAAAAAAAAAAAAAAAAAAAAAAAAGCCAGTTTAGCTTTGGAGGGGTTTTTGGAAGGGCTAAGGCCTACAATTATAAAAAGTTCAACTTAGCTACTCTTTGAATTAGGAACTAGAAACACATGATTTTATTCATTATCACGAATAAGAGGTTTAATATGCCTACACAAAGATGTGCTGGCAATCGTCACACAGCATTACCCAGAACAGCTGAAAGTAAAAACAACCCAAATGTCCAGCAACTGGCAAATGGATAAATAAAATCTGATATAATCCATACAATGGACTACTATTTGGCCACACAAAAAAAAGAAATATCGATACATGCTACAATATAGATAAACCTCAAAAACATGCTGCTGAGTGAAGGACGCCAAATGCAAACTATTTCATTTATATGAAACGTCCAGAAAAGGCAAATCTAGAGACAGAACGTAGATTACTGGGGCGCCTGGTGGCTCAATTGCTTAAGCATCTGACTTCAGCTCAGGTCATGATCTCACAGTTCATGAGTTTGAGCCCTGTGTCAGGCTCTGTGGTGACAGCTCAGAGCCTGGAGCCTGCTTCAGATCCTCTGTCTCCCCCTCCCTCTCAAAAATAAAACATTAAAAAAAAAAGAACGAAAGTAGATGACTTGTTGCCATGGGCTGGGAGTGGGTTAGGAATGAACTTTAAAGGGCATGAAGGATCACAGTGAGGTGATGGAAATGCTCTAAAACCGGATTATGATGACGGTTACACAACTTGGTAAATTTACTAAACAGCACTGAATTGTACACCTAAAATGGGTGAATTTGATCGTATGTAAATTATACCTCCATAAAACTATCTTTTAAAAAAGAATATGACA